GGGCGCATAAAAAATTATCGTCGTTTATTACGATTGGCAGAGATATGTTCTCTGACCCCGAGATCAGCAGACACATACGCGGCCGAGTGAGCTGCGCGCGTTTTGTTTCCCACCAAAAGACAGCAGCAGCAGCAGTAGCAATTTGATATAAAGCGCTCTGATAAGTCTGGGAAAAGTATAAAGAACACAACTGAGTAGATGAAAAAATACGATAACTCGGCGCGCGAGTCCATAAGTTTATATAATGCAGCACTGCTGACTGCAGTCCCAAAAGCAATGATACGCAGTTTGTCTGGTCTCGCGCGCGCGTTGGATCTGATATAAACAACGCGTATACGGCGAGAGACGGCGATGCAACTTGTGCAGCATCATTTCGGAGCTGCTGCTGCTGCTGCTGCTGCTCGAGATAAGAGAGGTAGTAAGGAGTGCGAGGCCCGAATGACTCGCGCGAGCTGCCCATGACGAGGAGCCGTGTGCGCAATGTTATAATAAATATAATAATGGCGAGAAGATGCGGTCGGCGATTTCGGACCACGACAGGCGCCGTCTTGGCTTCTTATATTATTATGCGATGTACCACATAATGTACGGTCACACGCTCGACACGCGGGTGATGTATACATTTTTTGCACCTCTGCTTCATGTAGGCAGGGCTCGTCGTAATGTCAGGCAGCTGCGTTTCTTTCCATGAAAAATCGTTTCCAATTTTGAGGTTACATAAGAAGAGCCTCTCCGCGTTTACCTGTGTAAATGTGCATTAGCTGTCTCCTCGCTGATTCCATTGGATATATACTGGCAGTAGCAGCGGCATTAAAAGAGAGCTTTTCCTCGCTGCGAGGCGTTTCGACGTTTCGACGTCTCAATTTCCTGCGACATAAACCATTACACACACATATACCATAACGATATAATACACGCACGCAGTGGAGCAGTTTTGTCGTGCCTCGCGGGCAGCGCGCTCGCGGCCTCTGATATACTTACATTACATTACTGCATATAGGCCTGCAGCGCATAGATGCGCGCGACCGACTCTATATATACATCGTATGGTGCCTGCATAACTGCTTATACGTGTGCATTGCACGCCTTTAAGTATAACTACTATACGACGTATGGTAGTCTCACGGAATGACACATATCCGACTGTAATTTCTTATTCCATTTTGCTTTTCTCTCTGCAGTCGTGCTTCTCGGCGTAATGTGCTGCCCTGTGTGTGCGTTGCGTTGTTAGTTCGATGCACTCGTTTGATTTTTGTCACGAGCTGCTGCTTTTGGCCGCTTCCCCCTGTAAGCAAGAACATAATGAGTATCGGAGCAGTGATTTCGTTGGAAAAACATCAAAAGCGTATCGTGCAATAATAATGTTAATAATATGTACGATGTTTGTGTGTACGCGCGAAAGAACGACGACGACGATACCGCGTATACACAAATGCGTGCGTATAATCAACGAGAGTTTCGAAGTGTAGGAAAATAAAAATATTTTTACCGCGAGAGCTCTTTTTATCGGTGACTGCTGCCGCCCAGCCGAGATTCGTTTCTGCTTCTTTTTTTTTTGTAAATTCGAACGCGCGGAGCATCGAACTGCCGCGGACAGTATCTTATACGTTAAACGCAGTATTGACCGATAGGTCGTCGTTGCGAATCTTATTTAGGAGTCATTGCCGTAATGCACAAACACACACACACATTCGATTGACGAACTGTTACACGTGAACAGTTGTTGCATGCACTGTGCGATGTATCCGCGAATCGCAAAGTTCGATACGTAACGGCCGCAACGTATCGCGTCGTATATCGAGCAAAAGCTTCCATCGTGTACTCGATTACGAACACGCGTATATGCTCGTTTTTTCTTACATTCAGGCCAAAAAAGAATCGAATTCTCACTTAAATGATTATCGTTTCGCGAAGTCATTGGATCACTGCACTCCGAGAATCGTTATTTGTTCTCGCGGGGCGCGAGAGAAATGAGATGAAGAGTTCCGATCGTCGTCGTCGCCTTCGTATCTTCCCAAGCACGATGATGAATAATGCGAAACTGCCGAGTGCTGAGACAAACAGCGATGCATGTAATGCCCGCGTGAAATAAAACGTACTTATCACGCGTGAAAATACAAGAAAGAGCCGGAGTAAATAAGTCGATGTTGTGTTATGCGCGACTGCGAAGGGCATCGCTGAGGTTATGGCACGCCGTGCGGCGCGGGCCAATGTATCCTGCGGGATGCCGCCGTTGCTGCAACTGTATTTTCGAATGTTCGAATTCGAACGATAACGAACGTCGCGAAGCACCCATCGCCGTTGCACAGAACGTTAGGCAATATTGAAGCAATCAATCGCGCGATTAGTTTTAACGAAAAAAAGTGTATATCGAACAAAAAAAAACAGCCGACTTGTTTGCGCCGAAAAATCTGTTTTCTGGGTATTTCGCCCAGGAGTGGATGAATCTGGATATTGTTTGTGCTCGTCGTGAATCAAAAGAAAAAAAGAAAGATTGATACGCAACCGTCGCGCACAATCGAATCGCATTTTATAATATTATGCGCGTTGCGCAAAAACGTTCCGAAATATCAATTCGAGAGATAAAACGCGAGCGTCCGCGCGCTGTATTGGTAATAAAAGCTGCAGCCGCGGCGGATTATCGCAGCATTCGGAACAGCTCGGAGAGGGAAAGAAAATGAGCAAACACATATATATAAATGTATTAAAACGTAAGTAACGTATAGGAAAAAAGAGCAGCAGTAACGGCCAGCACTCGGACACGTCGCGAAATGATTGATGCACCATCGCCGAGTTACGCCGAGGAGAGAATACATGTCGAGGTTCTCTCTCTCTCTCTCTCGCGCGTAGATATACCCATTTACGAGGAAAGCCGTCCTCACGGTGTACAGCAACAACGACAAAATAATAATCACGCGACGGTATAACACCGAGACTGCATATACGTACCTGTAAATGCGATGCGATACGTGTATAGGCAAGAAGGAGAGAAAAAGTCACGCGTAAGCAGCGTTTTGCGATCGAGTAATAAATTCTTCATCGCTCTGACAATTGCACATTGATCTTTCTCAGTCACTCATATACGTGTGTGCGTGAGTTTGCCCGCTGGTATACGATATTATTATATATAGAATCTCGAAATCGCACAGGCTCGCGGTAACAACCTAATTAAAAACACTCACCAACGGCGCGACGGCGTCCAAGGGAACGGATCGAGTATAAAAGCGCGAAGAAAAAAAAAGCATAGCCCGCAGAGAGCACTGCAGCAACGGCAGCTCGTCCGCCGCGCTATTTTTCTCGTATAATACGTGTGCACACACACATACTGACCAGCAGCGAGCTCGATGGCGATAATGGCAGTAAAAAACTTGACATAATGGATCATCGATAATAAATTATTCGATTAAGACACGAACGCGAGCACACGCATGCTCGTGTGTATGTGTGGCAACTGGCGAGTACGGCACGGTTTCGTCCAACGTCTCTCTCTCTCTCTCGCGCTGCTCTATATCGAACATCGATTCGAATTAACTCGAATATGCGGTTATTAGTTATTCGCGCGGGACCGTCACCACCCGACTCGACTCGCCTTCGTTTCTCGTCGAACGCAGGCGGAAAATGTGAACGCGACTCCGCGGGGTTTGTCCACTCGTCGAGCAACGGTCAATTTCAAAATAATTAAAAAATTCGAAACTCACGTGAGATAAAGTCGTGATGCAGGGAGGCAATTCGATACGAGACTATCAACGGATCATTACATTTCGTGGACGGCGAGTAAGCACGTTACAATTTTGAATTACCTATTATAACATATAGAATGCAGTTGAAAATTTGAAAATCGAAACAGTATAGCAAGTGGCAAAACACAGCTCCACGGTAACGGTGCACATATTCCAACTGCTCGCGAGCTAGTATGCAGCAACGACAAAGCAAGGACACTGTCGCGACCTCCATTATTGTTAATCGCTCAGCAACAGTGTATACAATACAATAAATAATACTCGACAGTCGCAGCAGCTCCTCTCGGTGCATCTCGTGTTCTGTAAGTACTGTTCCATACAATGCAGCACGCAATATATGTATTTGATTTTCATACACGCTATGTGAGCTTCGTAAACGAGTATTTAAAATGAGTATAAATAAATAAAACACGTAATTCTGTTTCGCCGTGAAAACGGCTGCTATGCAGCGTTGGAGGCGAATATAATAGCAATAGAAGCCATATTATATCCTTATAATCTTTACCTCGGCAGCTTGAGCGATTATCGCCGAGTGTCGAGCAGCGTGAGACAATTTTTTTTTGCAATCTCGACTCGCTGCTTATGCGACTCGTTTGCTTTATTTCTCGTCGTCGCGACGTGCATCCGAGGCACACCGTGTAGTGAGAGTTGAAAACGAATAGCCAAAGTGCTGAGTCGCGGCACAGTATAAGTTGCGCCATCAGAGAGTAAACCGAGTACACTTTGGGGATGATTTAGGTTTTGCGTCCGTTAAACGAATAAAGCGACTTTTAGAAGCCAAGGATCGTTTTGTAAATTATAGGTAGGATCAAACTATACTGACTCTGATAGGACGTTTTTTTTAATCAATCTTTTATTTTCTCCAATGCGACATTTTTCGTAAATGAATACAAAATAGTCATCGTATTTTTGTTTTAAATTTTTTGTATACATCATTTGCAAGCCAGAGTTCGAAACACTTCTCGAACGCAAAAGAGTGTAATTACACACACACATACACACACACTTCTGTAAAAAGAATCCAATCAGGATAATCCATAAAGTGTATAAAATGTAGAAGAACAGAATTGATGATGATTGTGGAGACTCTGACTTTAGCAACAATATTCGATACAATTAATTAATTTTTTATTCGATTTACTCATTTTTTTTGGCAATGAAATTTTTTGAATTTATTATTATATTACAAATAAATATATGTATTAAAAATTATATTATATTTACAAATGAACTATATGTAAGATAAAAATTTCTATAAATTTATTTTAAATTACATGATTTGGAAAATTCACTTGGTAAGGAATCAGTCTCACCATCTTTTATATGAAGTTTTTCGATATTTGGCAAATTCTCCATTTCAGGTAGATCTTGGCTGACTTCATGAGTTGTGTGTGCATTACTTATTGGGATAAATTTATCACATAGATCTTGTGGAACTAATTTTGGAATATCCTTAAAATCTTTAAGGTATTCATCTAACATGCATTCCTGATCCATCCGTGGCAATGAGCTAGAAGAAGAAGTCATAGGCGTCATATTCCTACAATCCTCCTCCTTCATTTGGTGCCTTTTCCATGCCCTGGCTGCTAACTCTACTCTTCTGATAGTTTTTGGATCCCATCCGTCTTGGATTCTGCTACTCGAACGTTCACTAAGGCCCTCGAATCTTGAATCTTTCTGAAACTGAAAAAATCAATGAATATTTAAAAATAGGCAATGTAGCTTTTAATAAATGGTATAGTTGAATAAATAGATGTAGGTCACTACAGGTGTTCCAAGGCAAAAAATAATCCATGCCCTGATGATTCCCTAAAGTGGTCGACTTCAGAGTCCCTTCAACTTGGGTTCTATGATATTTAACGATGAAACTTTTATTTTGAAATATCTCTTAACAAGTCATTTGCAACTCTAAAGAAGTAATTAAACCTAGGTTTAATGTGTTTAGAGCTGTGAGAATCAAATTTTTTGTTAAACTTTTATTGGTTTGCTCCAGACCAATTAAAAATCAATAATTTAAGTAAAAGTCCAAAAATAAAACAAACAAAGATAATTACTAAAATTTATAAGGGAACTGAATAAAACCTTACTTATAAGTTATAACACTCTATATGTTAATTAAAAGTAAAAACAAAAACTAAATATGAAACTCAACATTGTGAATGATTGATCGATTGAAAGTCATTAGCAGTGGTCAAGTGTCAGATCTGGTTTTACTCATTTAAATTAAACTTGATTACCTGATAGATTTTAGTGGAACCATTTCATTCATATAATTATCAAAGTAAATCTTTAATTGCAATTGGTCTAAGTCATTTAAAGTGTAAACCATAATCTTAACATAAACTGTCAGTGGTCTGCAAATGCATACAGCTGAGACACAATTAATCATTTAGAGAACTTTCTATATCAATATGAATTGTAAAAACACAATCGTAAATACTCATGATAGTAATTTTTCATCATGTATAGCAGATATTTGCCATGTGATAATTCAACTCATCACATTGGTTTCATATCTTACACAAGCCATGTATTATTTACATTTCAATGTAAACATACATCTAGTTCTAGTATTTCAAATACCACCTTTGCAACATTAGATGCCAGTTCATTTTACATCTAAATTGAAATATCGGTTCACAAAGTTTATCACTCAGCTGTAATAGCAATGTTATAATTTAAGTAACTTGAGTATGTGCAAGTGTGATAGTTTTACTTAAACATGCCACACAATGTAAATCATTCTTATGTTTGTGTGTATTTTGTGTTTTAACCTTTTCAATTCATTCATGTGCAGAGTGTTTAATTTTTATTTTTTCATATTATACCAATTGATATTAGTGCTCTGAGCATTTGGAGCTAAGATTACGAATGACCTATATACAATTCAAGATTTACTTTTACAATTACATGACTGGAGTGACAACAATTATGTCCACTAAAATCGATCAAGTAATCAAGTTAAATGTACTATTTGATTTAATTTTTATAGATTGATTTTGTTAGTTTGCAACGCTTGCTATGGAAGGCATAAAAAAGTACTTGCACAAAAGGAGGCAGATGAGTACTCAATACTCATCATCCTTTTTTATCGGCGTTAAACGACTTGTGTTTACCTTGCATTCGTTCGTTTTGCTTGCATCGTCCTCATCATAATTAGGCATCTTGAATTATTGATGTAGAACTTAACAATTTGAGGCGCTATTTAAATCAGCACTACGTATGAATCACAAAATACAACTTCTTCGATGCATTAACTGAAGCTCTGTATTTAGCACGCTCTTCACCAATACACAACACAGTGATATATAATTGTTTATAAATATAGTTTTGAAATCTTAGCTAAGAATGAGCTGGTTTCAGCTGGGTATTTCGGCTGGAGGAACACGTATGTACGTGGACTATAATGTTGCCCATTGGAACACGAATTTGGACGGTAACTCCATATGCAACTAGCGCCGCCGACGTCAAAGTTACGCCGCTGGTCCCCGCAGAGTGATTTTTTACAATTCAAAATTGTAACAATAAATACATAATACCTAATTGAATAATTTGTTTTCTTTTCCTTTAAATTATGAGAAATGATATCAATAAGTATTTCATTTTAAAAATCATGATAATTTATTTTTTAAATAATATATATCAATTGCTAAACTACTAATAGATTAATAATTAAATTACAATTATTTCGTATTGAAAAACTTATTGATATTTCTTCTCATGATTTATAGAAAAGGAAAAAAAATTATTTTATTGAAATTTTTACATATTTACTAGCTACCAAATTATTCACGCTAGAATATTTATTCTAAACCTGCGATCAAAAAATGTATGTTTCCAATATTTTGCTTCCGATTAAACTCTCAATTCTCATAGGCAGTACACGTCGGTTTGTGTGTTATTTTTTTTTAACATTTCTTTTCATAATCGATTTTATTTTTTCAAAAAAAGTTTTTTTTCAATATTATTTTTACTTTTTTTTTACTTTGACGAACAGGTGCTACTACACCTTTTGACACATAGACACGTACTTTTGCGTTCGAGAAGTGTCTCGGGCTCGATCCTGCAAATTATGTACATAAAATAAAATTACGATTACCATCTCCACGGTCGTCTTGTACGCGTGTCTATGGGAAATGTCGTTTTACAAATATCATCGGTCATTTTTGCAGCGGTCGTTCAGAGAGCTAGTCTCAATCGTCAAGAATGAAGCCGCGATCCGAAGAAGAAGAAGAAAAAAGTTAACCAAGTGAGTAAAAATTCTCATCGCAGTCGGTATACCTATAATATACAAAACGATCCATTAACGACTTTTAGAAGTCGTTTTGTTCCGTAGTCGTTTTCTAATACAGGTGCTCGGTCGATACCTATTCATGTATTGGAATTAAACTTAGACCGACTGCGTGGGTTGCGCGAGTATAGCGTGCGCGCGACGTGTTTTCAGTCGTCATCTTTCACTCTCTCTTCTACTCCTACTCCATATATTAAGTATTACTAGTTAGGCTACTAGATGGAGAACGAGAAAAAAAAGACGCACCGCGTAGCATTATTCGGCGGTGTATTCGGAAATGCGTAAAAACTGTCTTTTCTCGCTTCTCAACGCGTGTGCAAATATATTTGCCAGATGGGGCACGACGCGCGCTCCGCGATATGCGGGCGCATACAGGCTAGCTCCTTTTTTTCTTTACATGTTCCTCTATACATACGCACAGGTTTTGTTTTATTACGCGTTGGCTCGTGTCGCAAAACAGGTGTAGACTTCCTCGCCTCGCTCTCTACGTTCGTAATATGCATAATATATATTAATCGCTAAAAAAGATGTGTGTGTGTATAGTAGAAGGAGAAGCTCGAGCAGAGATATCGTCGCGCAGATGTCTCGATGACTCGTCGTTGTCGTCGTTGGTCAGCTCGTCGCGAGCTATATACGTGAAAGAAATCGGAAGCTTTTGCCTCTTTGTCTGACACTTTTATGCACGCATGCGATAGACATGGACGTGTAAAAGTATATACTTAATATTATCGTGACTGCGTAGACGTGCGTATTTGCACATCGTTGCAAAACATAATCGTGCCGAGTAATCAGGCGCTGCGTTTCGAGGCATTAGCGCACGCACGCGAGTACACGCATGTATGTACCATACATGTATACACATAGCGTGTGTCGTAATTCTCTCGAGTCAAATTTTGGGGCAAAATGAAGTAAACGCGGTAGTATAGCAAGAAAGTTAAGGGGCGAGGGAAAAGACGACGCCAGCATAATATCATGTCCATAGGACTGCGTCGACAGGTATTAATCGCAGCTGTCTTCGCGCACGCGTGTGTGCCTTATATTCGTCCTCGCGAGCCAGTCGGTATATAAGCATCGTCGTCTCGGTGCGCGCATTTATATATATTATACAATATAATAATACCGCGTGTACGTTAATTGGCTCTCGTGCTACTATTATACGCGCGCGATCATCGCACCCGATCGACGACGTTCGATTCGCAACTTATAATAATAAATTTGCACGGTGCTGCACAGGCCAGGCAAGGCAGCCTTGCCCGAGGATATGGAAAAATTGAAAAAATCCCCCTGGGCGAGGAAATGCTACCGCTGCTGCTACTGGCGCGAGTCGATTCCTTTTTTTTTCTTTTTTATTTACTATTCGCGACGATGGCGAGTCGACGGCGACGTGTACGCGCAAGTGCAAGAAAAAACTCGCGCGCGGGGCTCGTAATGAGAGTGATTTACTAATCTACGACAACGCGCAGTCGGAGCAACGGCGCGACGACGGCTGCTGCTGCTGTGAAGAAGAAGGAGAGAAGGAGAGAGAGCTTAATCAATTGCGACTCGCTACTGTACACAATGATGGTCGCGACCTGGATACTCGCGTGACAGATGCGTGTGTCTGTGTGTTGTATACGCCTCGATATACACAGAGACACATATAGGAGCAAGTGTCTTTTGGCGCATAAATATAATAACTCTAGGCCGGCCGAGACCATAAACTATGTCACCGCGAGCATTTATTTCTCTCTTTCTGCTCTTTTTTTTCTCTCTCTCTTGAGATTTTTTCGGATTTTTTTCTCTTCCATTTTCATTCATTTAACGCGATACGTGAGATAGAGAGAGGAAGCAACGGTATAATCTCGAGCACGTCGAGTTAAGATGCAGTGCGACAACAAAAGGATGAGAGAGAACGAAAAAAAAGAGGAAGAAGAAGTTGACTCCCTATTCTCGGCGAAGACGACGACGACGACGCCGTTCGCACGAATTCCGAGAAATTCGTGAAAGCACTAATCAAGCGCGCGAGCGCACGTAGTGTACGGATCATGCAGCACACTCCGTGTGCTTTATAGCAATCAAACCAAACCTGTATTATATATACTGAATATATACGCGTGTGTGCTGCGTATGTGTACCGTATAGGCGCGCGCCTGCCTGCCTGGGTGCAATAATCAAATGCTACTCGACTCTCGGACAAAATCAATTGGCTCTCTCGCGCTCATTCACTTCGACAAAGGTAAACAACACCATTAAACAAGGTCGCTCCGTTCTACACGCACACACGCACGGGTATATTTCCGCGCGTCGATACGCTCGCGGATCGATTCTCGCGCCTCACACACACACACATGTGCGTTGTAATGTACCGTAAACGCGCACCACGAAAACAACGATAGCTGCTGCTGGTATCGACTGATGGAGCTCGCAATAAAATCACTGAAACGCGCAGCACACACGGGACGAACGAGTTCAGCCGCTGCTGCTGCTGCTGTTGCGCTTTCCGCTGATCAACTGCCCATGTAACGTATGTGTATGTACACGCGGGGATAGCTGTTTCGTTGCGAGAGGCGTTATAACAACGTCGAGTTTTTTTTTCGGTTGGTTGGTCGTTTTTTTTTATTTATTTTTTATTATCCGTTGCATCCGATACTCCGAGGGACTTTTCGCGCTTCCTGCGTGTATCGACACATTAGAACTTTGAGCTTTTTTCACGCATAAGACTACTCGATCGCCACGTGAAAATAAAAATCGCAATTCGAACGTTTATATTTTTTCAAACGCTCCGGTAAATTAAGCGATCGATAATCGCGGCAAAAAAAGGAGCGAGCGCGAGAGAGAGAAGTTTATAAAGCGACGAATAATACGTTATGTGCACTGCAGCAGCGGCGCACGGCTGAAAATTGAAAAGCTCGCATGCACACGCCCGTCAACAACTATATACACGCAAAAAGAGAAATATAAAAGCGAGCATAAGCGTGCGTGTGTACCTACCACACACACACAAACACACACATATGCGTAACACACACTCTGTTTCGTTCGCGAGATGGAGAGCGTATGTGCATTATTATGCTCTAGGATCTCGCGAATACACACACATATACACACGCACATGCACATGCATATATGTATACATGCGCATCGGGTACACGTGAGAGATAGAGAGTGAGAGAGAGACAACTGCTGTTGCTGCTGTAATAGCAGTTACAACGGGAGCCCTCGTACATTTATACATAAGCACTGCGAAGCACAGCACACACGCCTGTGTGCGTGTCCGTATAAACGTTGCTGCGTCGAGCTTGTGCAGAGCAGCCCAGGCGATATGTGCGCGCGCGCGGCTGTTTCGAGTTGAGTGAAACATCGCGCCCGAAGACAGTCGCTGAGTTCGGCTCTCGAGCTGCAAGGCAAAAACGGAGGCAGGAGCTGCTGCGTTGATCCGTATATATACGAACGCATACACATACGAATCGTTAACGCGAGATACATATAAAAAAAAATAAAGGAACGATATCTCACCTGTCCAGCGGACTTTGTATGTGTGTCTGTGCGTGTATTTTATATGTACTCGAGAGAGAAGCGAGAAAGAAGGAGACGACGAGCGAGCGAGAGAGAGAGAAAAGTTTCCAATGAGTCGTTGAATGCATATATATGAGATCGCCTGCAGCGAGGAATTTCTGCGTGTTGCAGCTCGTGCGCCGTGCCGCGTTGACTTTATAGAGAGAGAGAAAGAGAGAGATATCGGTTGCAGCTGGATGATGTGGCAAAAATCGTATATATAGCCAATACTCTCATACACATACACACATCTCGAGCGCCGATTATTACGTCGTTTCAAACTGAGACCCCGATGATTTTCAATGATTATATACATTCGCGCGCGCGCGCCTCGTGCCTGTCTGCGAGTTTTTGCCTCACACTCGCGTATCATCAGTTTTGCTTTATGATACAATTATCGGCCGTGTAATTTGCATATAATGCGAGATCGAGCGCCGGGGTTCGTAATGCACAGAGATTTTGAGGAAACAGTTTGACTGCGTCGACGCGGACGACGAGGAAAAAGTGTCTAAAACACGCTAAGCGTATACGTAATGAACGCAT